ATGTCCTTTTGGGGAGGGGTCTTATTCTCTAAAATCCTGTTCACACTACTCTGGACATTTTTTTAAACCAGTAGTTTTAGTTTTTGGCATTCATGTTTGCCTTTAACCACATGCTCCAACAAAAATACTGAAATAACCATGACATGCCACTAGGGGGTGAGCTTGTCCACGTTATTATTCTCAAAACACAAAGAACGTTTTTTAGCTTGGCTAAACAAAACTTTATAAATTAAAAAAAAAAAATGGAATTGATGTTCAATTAATAAAATGAGATAGAGGTTAAATAAAAATATCCAAAGTAATATAAAAAAAAAAAAAACGAAAGAAAAATCGCATGAAAACTAAAAATTGTACTTGGATTCCCTATAAAAATTAAAATTTAAGTATTATTATTTACAAGTCCAGTCCATGCAGTTAGATTATTTTGATATGACACAAAATATCCAAGCAAAGACCAGAGCTAAGGTTAGTATTGTTGCAAATGACAGGAATGTGCAGTGATGTCGATATGCTGCATGTCAGAGCTGCAGCTGGGTGTTGATGGATGGGTCAACTCAGGCAGGAGGTGTTGAGTAATTGTCTGAAATCTTTTTTAGGGCCATCAAGGGTTTATTTTAACAAACTTTTTAACAAAAAGATGACTGCATCTTTGATTCTATTTGTCCAGCAATCAGAGAACGGACCAAACGATTTATTTTTTACACGTTTCGTTTGTTTGAGCCTGAATGTCCTCATTCTGGGAAGTCGTGATTCAAATCATCAGTCGTTCAAATAAACGGCGACTTTGCAAATTAGATTTCTGACGACGTGCAGATTTCCTCTTAAGATGTCATTGCAACACATTTCAGAATTACTGTGCAACAGCTGCCCACCCATTTTAAATTACACTGTCCTGGGGAGGACATAACCACAAACAATAGCTTGATTTATTTCTAGTGTCATCTTGTGGCTCAAGTCAAGAGAAAGTGCAAAACATAAATATTAAAAAAATGCCTTTACGACTTGAATTGCTGTGTTTCAGATTACACAACACAACAGAGCTGTTTGGTCCCTGAGTAAAAGAAATCAATATGTTGTGTCAGCTCATCCGAGGGACTAAACTACCTTTCAGAGTGACGGCGCAGTAAAACTGACCTCCAAGTAATTAGGGAACAAATTACACAAATATCCTGAGTAGTGAATCAATGGTTCGATTGCTGCCATATCCTTCACCACTGGAACTGTCGAAAGAAATAAAAAATAAATCTTTAAAAAGAAAACAACACAATTACTTGGTCATTCCAAGTCAAAAAGCAAGACATAAATTCTGTTATTTTTTTCAAATAAGAAAAAAAACATACTTTTCTTAACATTATGTGACTACAAACCGAATATTTTGTGATTTTATTGCATTTATGACCATTCTTTTTCACGGTTTTCTTCAACTAACATAACATTTCAAAACATTCCTGACGCCTCCTTGCATCTCTATGCTGACGATACAATTGTTTATTGTCGAGCCAACACGGTTACCAAGGTTTTCCAGCTTCTAGTCTGCATTTGACATCATTCAGTCAGACTTCTTCCATCACAAACTGGTGCTAAATGCGGATAAAACCAAGCGGATGCTGTTTTCAAGCAGAAACTTGGTGCCAACAGTCCTTCCTCCCATCTCATCCATGCATCATGTTCCTGTTGAGTTTGTGGAATCGTACAAAAACTTGGGGATTTTAATTAATGCACATTTCTTTTTTAAGCCACATGTTGAAAGTGTCATAAAGAAACTGATATTAAAACTGTGTTTCTTTTTCAGAAATAGATCTTGCTTAACTCTGAATGCCAGGAAACACCTTGAAGCTGCCACTTTCCTACCAGCCATTGATTATGGTGACATTATTTATGTACATGAATGCCCCTGCCAGCTGCTTGCAGATGTTGGATGCTGTCTACCATGGTGCACTAAGATTCAAAACTGGTTGTAACCGTACCCATCACTGCACCCTGTACTCATTGGTCAGTTGGTCATCATCTACACGTAGGCTCTCACACTGGTTCATCTTCATCTATAAATCCCTCCTTGGTCTGCTACCTTCTTATCTCTCCTCCCACATGTCACGTCGTCAGTGCAGTTACAGCGTGCGCTCGCAGGTATTCATTACCTGCAGTGTTCCCTCGGTGCAAACTGAACTTGGCAAAAAGACCTTTTCTTACTCTGCTCCTGGAACACCTGAAGCTGTCCTCCTTAATTTCTTTAAGGGATTTTAAACACTTGATAATGTCAATAGAAACATCAAAGCAAATATGTTCTTGTTTTTAGCATCATACCTTGTTTTATATGGCATCTTAACTGCTTTTTTAACTACTTTTATTTGATTGAATCGCTTTTCATGGACTTGTCTGTACTTTATATGTTGTCTGTCTAAAACAGGTCTCTCTTGTAAAGAAGTACTCAAAGTCAATGAGACCAACCTGCATAAATAAAGATTGAACGAACGAATGAATGAATTTCTTCAAAAAGCAATCTTTGCTTTAATTCCCTACACAGTAAACACAGATATAGGGAACATGAAAAAGTGACGTTTTTATGAGCCAAACTCAAATCTTTGTCAAATTGTGACCATAAATATAACTCAACACATAATATGTAGACTTTCTTCACAAAGCAGAAACACTGACAACATGTTGGTGTAGTAAACAAAGATGTCCTATTCAGCATTTCTGTCTCTCACTGCAACTTAAAAAAAAAAACGAGTTTAGACTTCAGCCAGGAGAACTTGACACCTGATGTGAATTTTCTGCTGCTTCTGTTGCAGTTTTAAACCCAGTGTGTCAACTATGGTGGAAAATATTCAGCTTGAACCAAACAGAAACAATTATTCATCAACTCTTTGTGGATTAAGAAGATCCCGTTTTCTAAAATTCCAAGAAAGTTGTGAAAAATTCATCACTCTATGAAACGTTTTGCTTGTTTTAAACAAGTTGAGGAGTTTTGTCACATGTTTTAGGAACTTATCTATCTTTTTTTTTAGCCTCCAATCACACAGGACTGATGCAACAGTCATCAGGGTAATCAATGGGTGGAAACCTGTCAGGGTGGGGGTGTTCACTAAAAAACAAAGAATACTCCCCGGTAGTTAAACGTGCAGCGAGGTACGCTGGTGTTAGCGTGTCTTAGACAGATAATCAAGCTGAACTCTCAGCCTTATCTGGAGCCGTTGGGAGGCGACACCCGCTGCCCCATAATACACTGACATTTAGGTGTCCTTGTCGTCTGCCTGATAATAACCCATTCCCCGTAACTCTGAAATTTAACATGTTGGGAGTTTTATCACCAAATCCACCAGTTAGGAGCATCTCAGATGTCGTTGGCAAAAAACACACGCACAGGAAGATTTATAGGTTGGGAAGTTTTGAGCACGGAGACATTTTCTAAAGGTGTTTTAGTACTTTTACCTCTCAAAGACAAAAATAACCTCTTTTTATTACGTGTGCCCAAACAACATTAAAACAACAAAAGATTTTGATGTTTAAATCCCAACAAAGTAGCAGAATCAAACTAGTCCTCAGTTTTTCCGGCAGCAGGACTGAGACCTGTTTCCACTTTGTTACAGAAGCTAAATGATTAACTCCAGCTCTTATCTGCAGCTGAAATGTTTCGTCTGATGACTGACGAGGCAATACATTTAAAAGAAGCAGAAGCCGGCGTTTCTTGTGATGATAAAGTTGTCCCTGACTTCTGGTCTTAAAGGAATTCTTAATCTGAAATAAAAAAATTTAAGGAAATTAAGGATGCATGATATTGGATTATTGGGCGATATCCGATATGCCGATATGCTAAAACCGATAACCGATACCAATACCGATATTTTCCCCTTAGACCTACTTACAGAGACTACATAGCTTTCTCTGCTGTGGAATTAAGCTACTACATTATTCTGCGTGGTCTTTTATCACTTTGGCCTGCTACTAAATGCAGATGCCAGAAAAGGGGTCTGAAAATGATTTAACACTATATAAATGCTTCCTTATATAGAGAACTTTACTAATTGGCTTTTCTATGTACCATATATGAATGTTTCTGTTCAGTGCCCTGAGACAAGTTTATTGTGATTTGGCACTATAAAACTATATAAATAAACTGAACTGAAGTGAATAATATATATATATATATATATATATATATATATATATATATTTTAAAACAATGTCTTTTATATCGGTGAGTTATTTTGATGGAATGGCCGATGTCCGATATTTAACTTTAATGCTAATATCGTCCGATACCGATACCATGCCGATAATATCGTGCATCCCCATTTTAAATCACAATAAAGTGCATGGAAGAAAATTCAGGACTGTCAATTTGATTTTATAGATTAAATGTTTTCTTAATCTGATGCTTTTTAAAGCTGTTATAAGGTGACATCACCAAAGCATGCCCTTTCTCAGTGCTGGAGATTTTTTGGTATGTAGAAATAATAAAATGATCCGATTCAAAAAGTACTCCTATCTAACCTCAAGTGAACCGTGTTGGTGTGCTTGGAATCAATGTTCTGTGGCATGTTGACCCAGTCTGGTCCCAGTTTCAGCTGTCGGGAGAGATGGTCTCACATTTGACTTTATCACCACTGCACCACCGTGCTAGACAGCACGAGGTGAGCCAAGAGTTTGAGGACTTGTTGGGTTTTGGCAGCACGCTGTCATGGCTTCATGACAGAACCAGAGCCAGTCGGGTGCCAGAGCGTGAACATGTTGCCATGTTTGTTTGTTTTTTACCTTTTTTTGGATCTCCCATTCTGTGTTTGGCCTTGATGTTCGGTGTGTGTGTGTTTAGTCTGCAGACAGATTCTCTGTGGTTCACAGCTGATCACCGGATGTGTCACCATGTGATTGAAGGTGGGATGGTGCAAAACACCAACACAGCCTCCAGCATTGCATAACACAGCAGGTCCTGGGAGACCGCAGCTTGATCGATTGATCGGCTGATCAGAGACCCTTTACGCACACACGCACACACCAACCTGCTCCTTCCGTTTCTGCCAGCGGCCACACGGACTCTCCTCCAGGATCTCGCTCTCATCCTCGCTCTCCTCCTCCTTCCCCTCCGAGCCTGACTTCCTCTCCGGGACGGACATCGTCATTTTCCCGCTGAGTGTGTCCAGATTTGCACTCCGGTGCCTCCACACTCCCCTCCCGCCGTCCTTCTTCCTCTTGTCCCGTGTTGTTGTGGAGGAGGAGGAGGCGAGAGGCTGCTGGCCGCCTGTCTGCGCAGTGAATGGACCCACCCCCCCTCAAGACTACACCAGCAGCTCTGACAGCCCCCCCTCTGCAATCCAAGATGAAGCTGAAACACTCCGCAGCAGGAAACGCCCTTTTTTTTAGATAAAAGCTTTAAGTGCGCGCGTGACTGCGAAGTGTGGGAAAAAAATCCATCCCAGTCTGCACGTAAAACACGTAAAACAGTTTTCTGCTTATCCTTGACTCACAGGCAGTGGCGGGAGACAAGAACTACCCCCCCATGAGCGTCCGCTGCGTTCACTTGAAGCCGCACATGACGCCTGCTTCACAGAGAACCGTGCATTCTTCGACCAGACTGCACGCGCGTCAATCTCCGTGGGGAGAGCCAGGCCGGTGCGCAGAGGGGCGGAGCCTAATGCCGTAAAGTCTCTACTCAGTGCGCACAACTTATAACTACGGAAGACCATTTCCGTCATGAAAGGAAAAATAAAAGCCCAACAGGAAGTCATAATTTCGAGCGTTAAAGTCATAATTATGAGAATAAAAGTCATAATTTCGACTTTTAAAGTCATAATTACGAGAACAAAAGTCATAATTATGAGTTTTAAGGTCATAATTATGAGAATAAAAGTCAAAAATATGAGTTTTAAAGTCATAATTATGAGAATAAAAGTAATAATTTCGACTTTTAAAGTCATAATTCCGGCCAGCACGGTGGCGCAACTGGTAGAGCTGCTGCCTCTCAGCGAGCAGGTCCTTGGTTCAAACCCCGGTCCAGGGGCCTTTCTGGGTGGAGTTTGCATGTTCTCTCCGTGCATGCGTGGGTTTTCTTCGGGTACTCCGGTTTCCTCCTACAGTCCATAAACATGCATGTTAGGCTGATTGGTAACTCTATATTGTCCCTAGGTGTGAGTGAGAGAGTGAATGTTTGTTTGTCTCTATGTGGCCCTGTGATGGACTTGCGACCCGTCCAGGGTGTACCCCGCCCCTCGCACAGTGATTGCTGGACATGGGCACCAGCGACCCCCGTGACCCAAAATGGAATAAGCGGGTAAAGAAAATGGATGGATGGATGGAAGTCATAATTCCGACGTTTCAAATTTAAGTTCGAAGTTTGTCCCTTGCCGGACACCGTGACTCTACTGGGATGCAACTTCCTGTCAGACACCAGTAGTTTTCCTACATAGCACATGGATTCATTCATTCAATGTATGTCCTTCTGCCTTCAAACATCAATCCTTTTAAATTAAAGGTATGTAATGTATACATATTTTTATCGCCACTTTATATAGCATTTAGTATCAAACCCCATTTCCTCTATGAAATAAATGCCCAACAGGAAGTCATAATTGAGTTTTAAAGTCATAATTATGACTTTTATTCTCATAATTCTGACTTTAAAAGTCGCAATTATGACTTTAAATTTTGAAATTATGACTTTTATTCTCATAATTATGACTTTAAAGCTCATAATTATGAATTTATTCTCGTTATTATGACTTTAAAACTCGAAATTATGACTTTTATTCTCAGAATTATGACTTTAAAACTCGAAATTATGACTTTTATTCTCATAATTATGACTTTAAAACTCAAAATTATTACTTTTATTCTCATAGTTATGACTTTAAAACTCAAAATTATGACTTCCTGTTGGGCTTTTATTTTTTTCTTTCATGATGGAAATGGGCTTCCAAAAATAACCGAGGTTTCATCAAGCGCATCTAGAAAACCATCCTACAGTATTTTCTAATTTAGGCATTTATTTATAGATACAAGCATGCACATACATATGTTTAATGATAGATATGTCCTAACAATACGTACCAACCTAGACACACACACAACCTAAATACACACAAGCACAACTACTCTTGTACTGTTTGTGACTTCTTTGTTTGTGACTTCTGCTGTCTATCATGGTGCACTAAGATTCATAACTGGCTGTGATTATCGTACCCACCACTGCACCCTGTATTCACTGGTTAACTGGACATCATTAACTTCACGCAGACTCTCTCACTGGTACATTTTCATCTTTAAATCACTTCTTGGTCTGCTGCCTTCATACATCTCCTCCTACATGTCTCTGCGTGAGTGCAGCTACAGCGTGCGCTCTCAGGACATTATTACCTGCAGTGTTCCCTCAATGAGGACTGAACTTGGCAAAAGGGCCTTCTCCTACTCCGCTCCTGTTTCCTGGAATATCTTACAAAAACAATTGAAGCTCTCGACCTTGACCTCTCTAAGTGGCTTTAAGAATCTGTTGGACTCCTGGCAGGGACCAACGCAGACATGTTCCTGTTTTTAGTTTTCTACATTCGCCTTAGAATCTAGCTGTTTTTTTGTTTGTTTTTTGTTACCTTTTTCTTTTAGCCATCCTATTTGTAAAAAAAAAAATTTAAAAAAAACTGCAGTATGACTTTTTATAACTGTTTATTGTTGTCGTTGTTGTCCATTATTGTCATCTTTCTTTGTTGAAATCAGGTCTCTCTTGTAAATGAGTCCTCAAGGCTCAATGGGATTACCTGTCTAAATAAAGGTACTTGCATGCTTTCGCAATCTGATCAAGTTTAGCATTTTTGCACCTTACACCGTTCATATCTCTATGGTAAGGAATGCCGAGATGCTCATAAATAAATAAAGCATTATGAAATAAGAACATTTTTCAGTTTTATTCTTTTATTTCATAATTGTGTGTTTCATAGTGGCGTATTTATTTCATAATGGCGTTTTTCATAATCCATATATTTCTACTGTTATAAGAAATAGGAAAACTTTACACTGCTAACCACATGTCAGAACATGTTTCTACCTCATGTACCACCTACACATGTACTAATCAATATGTGTCAATCTTTCTCTTAATTATCTCTTAATTACTTAATTATCATCTTCTTCTTCTTCTAAATCAGATGTGAGCATCAAGACTGACAGGAAAATTACTTTTCACATGCAGAACATGAACGCACAGTACTTGAAATTTAATGGCCAATAATTTTTTAGCTGTTCAAGCAGTTTTTTACAATCCTGATATTGTGCTCACTGATTTTGCAATGGCAATGAATGTCCGATATACTGTGCATCTGTGTACGCCTGTTTGTTTTAAATATGTTTTATTGTGTGATTGTCAAAGATTGGAAATTTCAGATTGCTAGACTTTTTTTTAGACCCACAGAGCATGAATGTAAGTAATTAATGTAAATAAATGAACAACAGAGTTGTATTTTATTAATCTGTTATAATATTCTGTTACATTTGATCTGCACCACAGAATCAACAATGAGGGCTAGGGTCAAACTCTGTTCGGTCTGGGAGTGTGTGTGTGTGTGTGTGTGGGTGGGCTTTTCCCAAAATATCTCATAACCCACCGGACAAATTTTTGTTAAACTCTCAGAAAGTAATCACTGAATGTACTTGCACAACTAGCTAACTGGTCAAAGGTTATTAATGTTTTGAACTGTTGTGACTGAGAATGCTAACCCTGCCCATGAACCATATGTTTGGGTTAGTAAAAAGCTGGTTGAGGAGCCGAGTGAGGCTGCAGCGTGCAGCTGGCACTCCAAGGACGCCTCTGAGTCTGTGAGCTTGGCTGAACTGAGAAGCGTATAAAAACAAGCTTCACACACAGCTCGTGGCAGATTCTCGTGACTGGTCTTCATGTGTGTTTCTGTATATCTGCGTAACCCGTCCTAAAAATCTGATCGTGCAAGTCAGAAAAATATTTTCCTGCCATCGAGTATGGTTCCTTATAAGTAAGTAAGATGAAGCGAGAATATTTTTTTCCAACACCTAATTTAAGGTGGTCACCACAGCAAGCTCACCTTAGAGAGCACAACATGGCTGTACAAGAGTCAGTTTTATTAATATTGTGCTAAAATGTGGTGTGGTTGTAGCTAGGAGTCATTCACATCGTGCTCCGTGTGCTAAGATCTTTGTGTTAAAGTGTTAATTTTTGGAGTCAATCCAATTCAAGATGGCTGCCACAACTTATAACTTTAGACAAGCCTTTTGTTGCTCTGATGCACATTTTTGGCTGCAGTTTCATCTGCAAGAGTTTAATCAGTCCCATTTGGACATTGATAGAAGTTCTCGTAAGCGCAGAATAATGAGAACAAGTTGGCTGCTGTGTGAAGTCTGCACTAAAGATGCTCCGCTTTGTAAGCAAATTAAGAAGCAGCATAGACGCATGGATTAGCAGGCCAGTTCCAACAGTTTAAAATAAAATTTCATGGGCCACATAAAATTGTAAAAGTCCAAAGTGGCCCCGGCAGGTGAACAAGAAGAGGCCCAGTTTGTAAAAAGTGCAAACTTTTAGCAACGTAAATCTTTTAGCCGAATAAACACACTGAATTTGAAGCATTTTAACATGACTGGTTCTTCAATTATCAGTGACACATCATCAGACAAATAAAAATACCTTGGAATGCAGATTTCTGAAGAACATCAACAAATAACAAAACAGAACGATCAGAACAGCCTTTTATCTTTACTTCTTTCCTCTTATGTAAACTGCAGCTGTGTTCACAGCAGCTGATGTTAACAGATAAGTGTCAAAGCAAACCAGGAGGAGAATGGTTTTTATTTATTTGTGAATGAAACAGAAACTTTGAGGTTGACCTGATCTTCACATTTCCAATACTCATTGAATGCAGCATTATGGCCCAGCTCCTCTTTAAATTGGCCTATACCTGTTTCCCAGGACCTATTTTCTATATCAGTGACAAAAGATGCATTCCTATTAAGGTCATGTTTTATTTTAGGGATAGAGAGTAAAAACCACAAGAATAAAATAATGCACTCAAAAAAATCAGGGAACAGTGGCAAAGATCCTGTATACAACCCAAAAATGGACCAGACAGTTCCTGCCCTGCTGTGTCAACAAAAGCCTATAGAGCTCTTTGTGGTTCAAGAAGGAGGGTCTGCGATCTGAAGCGGGCCCACCCTCTGGATGAGGAGGGTCAAAGATGGCTTCAGCCCAGGATCTAGAGTAAAGGTCAAGACTAAACGGCCTGGAAACCAGAGCAGAGCTCATGCCAAAATGGTATTTCTCTATTTGACTTGTTTAACTCGATGGGCTCGACTTAATCAATAGAAGAATCCATTTTTAGAGACGAATACAGTAAAGCTGTCCAGTTCACAGTTTTCAGTCTCATAAGGTGATGGTTTGTTCTGCAGGTTTATGATAAAACAAGCTTTTAATGTCAGTAGTGATCTGTAGATTTATGCAAATTGTTGAGCAGATGGTTCAAATAAAAAAAGTGATAAAAAAAAATGTTTCTTGATCCAATATAGACTTTGAGCATCATGCTTAGAGAAATTACTAAGTTAGACTTAGTAAAGCCAACAAAAAAGTGACTAAGTTCATTAGGATCTTGAAAGTTTGTCATTCGGTGAAATGAAATTCACAATGTGTTTCAGATTAATGGCGCAGGTTAATATTGCAGAAGATGTTTTGAAGCTACAGAAAAGAAAAGTTCCTGCTCCGTAACAACGAAGAAAACTAAGGAGGAACTGACGACTCGGTTTAAACCTCCAAACATCACTGGTTTTCTGTTACGCAGATGAGTGAGTCTATTTTTTATTTTATTTTAAAGTGTCCACAAAGGTTTTCATTCAAATGGAAACTTATGTTAATCTTCAGACCCAGAAAAGTGGATCCAGGTCCAGAGTTTACAACATATTGAATCTGAAGAACTGAAAAAAGAAAACAAGTACGACCAAATTAGCAACGTGTTTGATCATTTTTAGACGGCATTTGTGCAATATTACCATTCGGAGCCGGAATAATAAGTAATAACTGGCCATTTTAACAAACAACAAAGACGATTTTTTTGATAATTCTTTAGACTTTTTGTGGCTTATTATTTTATTTATTGTTTTCCTTTTTGGTTGCAGGAGGTAGGAATCAAGGTGGTTTCATCAAGTTTTTCAAAAGACTGTTTAAGGCAAGCAGACTAAACCCCCTGGCCAGATCTTGAAAGACAAACCCAGTACCTGGTCTGTCCTACAGTGATTTATTTCTGCAGCCTTTTTGTTTAAACCCAGTTTGCCATCTGGTGGTTCTGACAGGAAACACATCAGAAAAAGCTGTGAGTAGAGGAATCAGAGGCAGATTTTAATTCATTTTACAGGGCTGCAGAATATATTATAAACTTCTTGTTCATGCATTATGGTTCACTTAATTACATTAGATGGATTTATTTTTTTAAGTAAAAAAATAACACATTTTGGATATCTACAATTAGTAACAATCACACTATAAACCTAAACTGTGAGTGTCTCCACGTAAGATACAAAAAAAAAAAAAGAAAAAAGCACATTATAGACAGTAAGAATGTACTTTGTATTCATATAAAACAACAAGTGAATGCTCAATGTAAAAAAGTGTGATTCATTCAAAATGGTCATTTTGACTCTGCAGGTTTGAATTATTTCTACAATGGCCTATACCCAGTCTGACTGTTGAATGTTAAAACAGACACTTCAGTATTGTAATGATTTTTAGACATTTTAAACTTAGTTTTTTACTTGTATATATGTTTTACATTGAACTTTCTGCTAATGTTATATCTTTAACTGAATTAGAAGGAATGTTATTCTGACTTAAATCAATATTACTGATGTCTAAAAGAGTAATAATGAGGCATGTGGTTTGATTAAGTGTTCAATCTGCCTTCCATACTCTGTGATGCCATTCACCCTTAACCTTTGGTGCAAATATAAGTAGAGTCTACTAGTGTTAGTCTGCTCTCCAGAATGGAACAAATGTATATTCTCTCTTTCGCTTTCGACGAAGACGGTCGCTCTCACCCTCTCTCCCTCCCTCCTGCTTTTTTGGCTCTCTTGTCCTGTCATCTTTGGAGCCTCTCTTTACACATCGTCCAAATCAAAAATGATTATGGATTTGGTCAGCTGGTCCCTCAACGCAATTGATAAAAAAAAAATTTCCACCAGACGACAGGGTGCTGGAGAGCCCTCATGCCCTGAACGGACCCACGCAGCTCGGTGTGTCATTGATTCCTGGACACGATTTCTGAGAATCGTAGGCCACTTGCGGCTCCTGTCCTGGAACTCTCCAGCATGAAGGATTCGATATTGGAGAATGCCCACTAATCTGGCTGTTTGGATTCGCCATTGAGAGTACCAGCAGAACTTGAAGGAAGACAGAAAACAGAGTCTGGCGGCCCAAACAAATGTTGTTCATCTGAATTAGGCCTCCCCGCTGGCCTTGGACAGGCCAACTTATCTCAAATTGCTCCTGGAATATACGTAAACTAGAATATTCTGCCTGCCACCTCCAGAGGACATCTGCGGCCTTATCAGAACCATGATGCTGATAGACACTGTGATAACTCACTGCCTTTGTCAACCTCTATGCATAAATGTATTATGATGTCATTGTATGTTGCAGATTTATGTTGCCAGGTCTTTTTTTTTTTTTTTGCATCTTTTACACTGTTTCATGGCCTTTTTTTGCTCTGGACTATGCTACGACCTTCCCTTAAAATTCAATGTCTTCACCGGTCTATATGTACATTTATAACGTCTATTTATGAGCTTTGCTGTGGTAGTTTTTTTTATGCCTCAAATTGTGCCCTGTCTAGGACAAGGTGTGAGATATCTTTTTTTTTTAAATACCGTCTCTCCTCATGTTTTCTTCCCTTTTCTCATCTGAGAAAAAATATTATTCTGAGGAAGAATAAGAAGGCCGTGCTAATGAGCAGCAGCTTCATGCACTACGTCCATCTTTCAGACGACTGTACGTACATGTTCTAGTTGTATCTCGGTGCAATGATAATAAAGCTTATTCTGACAAGGACCTTCAGAAGACTACACAGTATAGTCCCACATTTATCGTGTAGGATTTGTACCCGCGATAAGTGGAAAAACCATGAAGTAGGAATAGTAGTTCAAGTAGTAAATAGTAGTTTATTATATATACACGCCTTTATATATATATATATATGTGTGTGTGTGTGTGTGTGTGTGTGTGTGTGTGTGTGTGAAGGTGTTTTGAACACTTCCCACACTCTTGCAGTATTCTAAACAATGTTTTTAAGCTCTAAACGCTCTAAAAGAGCACAGAATGTTATGATCTCAGCTCTCTACCTCGGCTGCTCTCTGCCACCCACCAGCGCTCTCGGCCACGCCCACTTCTCTGCTGCAGAACAGAGATATGACAAGCTGCAGGAGGAAGCTTATCCTGCAGGGTGAGCTGCACACAGGTGCAGCAGGTGCTAAATAATTTAAAATAATTTATTTTAAATAAAAATTCCATGCCAATCATGCAGCTCATCCATCACTCACCTATTGTGTGTCATGTCCAATCTTATTTTGAAAAACCGCGATAGAGTGAGTCTGTGAAAAAAGAACCGCGATGTAGCAAGGGACTACAGTAAAACTATTGCCTGAGACCAGTTTAAAATTCGACAACAAAAGTTGACTCCTTAAATGATTAAAAGAGGCAAGAAAACACTTAACAAAAGAGAAGAAAAAGTTGTTTTTTTATTGTTTATTTCTGCTTTGAATTGCGCAACATGTTAGTTGCATGATAGCAATAAAAATTCAACTGTGGGTCTAGATATAGATTACTGCCAAAAATGCTTTATAAAGCATAAAACTCACACTGAAAATCTGTGCATCATCACATTTTTCACCTCATGCCTTTGGAAGAGTCAGAGCTCCAGATTTGTTGGGCATTTCTGAAGATAAGCAGTTTGCCGTCATCGGTCAGTTGTAGACGGCACATGGCAGAGCCGTCATAGTGAGAGTTGGTCTGCCATCGAGGGTGGTCTTCTTGGTTGTACATGACCAGGTTGGAGTCATCCTGCATGCACAGGCGGACGGCGCCTGTAGTGTTAGTGTCTGCGGACCACACGGGCTTCCAGCCATAGATGACAAAGTTTCCATCATCCTGCATTAAAAAACAAGAACATTCACCTGCTATCAACAATCATACAGATAAAATGAACTCACACCACTGAGGTGAACAAGTTTTAATAAAATTTGAACTGAGAGAAAGTGTGATCACCTGGAAGACGGCCTTCCACTGTCCATTGTTGGACACAAGACTGTCTCCCCTACGGAGCTCACTATTTCTGGACAGATAGTTTCTGCTCATTTTTCTAAAGAATACAAGAAAAAATAATTTAGTTTGAATTTGTTGGAGAAACAGAATATGATTTTTATAAACCACATCAACAGCACCAGATTCAACTATTCTGCACAATAAGATATGAATACTCACAGCCTCGAGTGTTGAACAGCAGTCAGTCAGTGAGCAGAAGAAAAGGATGTGAGCATTCAGAGCTGACTGAGCATCTTTATATCATCCTGAGGTGGGCGGAGTAAACATGGAGTAAACATCTTTTTTTCTCTTTTACAGGTAATGTCATGTCACATAGACCCTCCTTATTATCACATTTCCAAGATATTTTTTCAGAGCTCTGGACCTCCGGGCAAATAGTTTCAGTGCAATACGTGCCTCAACTCCTCCACAACAACTTGTCCAAGACAATAAAGTAAACCACAGTGTTGTCAGAAAGTTCTGCATGAACTTGTTGCGAACACAGTAATTTGAGCAGTTATTGTGAAGCTGGAAACTACATAAAATTGCACGATATGTTATGGTGACAACCAAAATTGACAAACTGTGAGGGAAAAAAAACTAATGTTTGTTTGTTCAAGTAAATAAATGTTGCAACATAGACAAGGTGCAGTCAACTGAAAAAAATAACCAAAAATACTTCAGTTTAAGCAAGGTGGGGTTTGCTTTGATTTGTTCTTTGAGTCTGAGTTCTGTCTTGTGAGGTTTGGTTTCTTTGATTCCAGGATCTTACCTAACTTAATAGTTTTTTATGTTTGGTATTTTTACTATGCTCTTTGTTGACAGCAATCCATCAAAACTACAGCTATTCTGTTCCCATTTTAGAAGCTGAATCAATAAAAAATACAAAGATGGCACAATTTCCTCAGACAGAGGAGAAGCACAGGACTTAAAGTACCAAGAGTAAACTGTGTAGGAAAACTGTGACTGTGGTAAAGAGGTGAAGAAGAGACTCCAGGTAGGATGAAGAAAAGTTTCAAGAGTGATCAGTTATGTGATTTTCAAACCAGAAACTAGAGAGCAATTTGTAATTTGTACGATGTTCCTTGAACGTCACATAAGTTTGTTTAAGGCGTACATGGGTTCCATGTGGCAGATTTGCAACCTACTTTTTGAGTTGTGCTGTCAATCTTTTTTAGTTTTGTTTTGTATTGGACAAGGATTTTATTTTGCACAATAAGATGGGAGTGGGCGGGATTTATGGTATGGTGCATGAAACATAGGTCAGCGTCAGTGTTGCCAGGTGTCAAACTTGTCCAGATGGTCAGGTCCAGATGACCTGACTGAAAAATGTTGGATTTTATACCTGGATTATTGAGCATGGACTTTGTTGTTTTCAACCAGTTTGACAAGACTGTCAACAAGGAAGAGGGCCGGCAATGGAGGAGGGGCCTACAGAAGAGACCATCTAATCACAAGCAGAACTGGTTCTATGTCATATAGGCTTCGCCCTTTAAGGCTGTCGCTGATGGGTTTATCCCGTTATGCGCAGCATAAGCACTGAAAAATTTAGTCCACGCCCACCTGCTGTGTGGGCCCCACCCGGTCCGTATAAATTACGTTAAGAGCGGGAAATCGGCTCCCATTTTTTCTTCAGCGAGCTAAAAATAGCACTGTCAGAAGAACAAAGAAGGTCAATTGTGTAAATGACCAACCTTTGTTAAGGATGCTTGGCCCGGCAGTCGACCTCCGGTCGTCCGGTGAGTTCTCCTCCCCGAGGAGAAGATGACGAGCAGTCTTATTCCAAGGTAAGCGCCGGGGAATATTTCCCAGTGACAGGTCACTACACGCTGGACAACGCCATCTTGTATTTTTTCCTCTTATCGCCGACCCTCGGGGCGAACCGGATGGTTCCTCCGGGACAAGGCGTGCTCAGCTGCAGCCCCCGCTGCTCATTCCCTCCTGGGTAGCGTAGTGTAGGTGGAGGGGGGCTGAGTGAATGCTCACCCCATCCCACCTCGTTTCGCATCGGCGATCACACCGCTCCCGGCCGACAGCGCCCTCACGGTTGCCCGGCGGAACCCAGGAGGAGGCTGACATGAAGGGACCCCTTTTTTCTACGTCCCACGCCTTTCCCGCCAGTTCGGATGATCCGGCGGGAAGGTTGTTTTCACTGGGCTCCACTCTGGCTCACCGTCTTGATCCATACGGCCCCGTGTTCCAACAGGACGTTCGACGGGCGAGGCCACAGACGGTTCTTTCCTGGTAGATTGGGGGAGTCGGTCCCCAGTCTGCACCCATCACCAGAGTTGAGGGATTCACCGAGCGGGGCTATTCCTCGGTTACCCCCCCTTGAGCCAAGCCTCGTGGAAGCCTTCGGAGCGAAGCTGTCCAGGTCGGAGCAGCGTCCCGTCCCTCCGGGAAAACACGGCCAGGCAGTGACTGCGCTCTCCAACCGAGCCCACCAGTGTGCTTTTCAGGCGGCCGCAGCTAGCAACAACGTGGCGCTGCTAGCATTTAGCATGTCGAAGAGGCTGGAGGCCGCAGACCTGCCGGAGGAGACAAAGAGCTCCCTGTGTAAGTCGGCAGACGCCATCCTCAACATGTGCGCCGCTTCCACGGTTTGCCTGTCGAGGATTGCAGCGTAGATGACGGTAATCCAACGTTCCACCTGGCTTCGTCACTCTCCCTCGCTGCCGGAAAAGCTGCACAAGGACTTGATGGAGGCCCCCATCACGTCGGACGCTTCGTTCGGAAGCAGCTTAAAAACCATGCTGGCGAAATCGAAGCAGTCGGAGGAGATGTCGGAAGCTGTGCGTCATCTCATCAAGCCGCGCGGCTCATTCCGCCTCCCGGCCCGCTGGAGAGATCGTCGCGAGAGGCAGAAACATCGGCGCTCCACGGCAGCAGCAGCTTCGTCTCGCTCAGCTCCACCACCAGCCCCGCCCGTCAGAGACCACCCCCCCCCCTTCCGGCAACCTGCACTTCAGCGTTTTCCCCAGAGATCGCCTGCAGACGGCGCTCGGGGCAAACAAATCGCAGAGCTCACGGGGGAGAAGTTTTAAAAATGACAGTCTGCGGAGGATGTGTGTATAAATGACACAGGAGTTGAAATAAATGATTTTTCAATGATCAAAGTGCCTGTTTTTAGCCAGTCTGTAAGCTCGGATGAGCTCACAGCCGCTGCACACACATCCCTCCACATATAAAGAGCTGGTGTCCTTAAATAAAGGTCTTTTAAACCTACCGCCGCTCCAACACATGACGAGACGCTCACTCGACACTACGGTAAGTGAAATAACTCGTTATCAATCAGACCCGCACGATCACCACCCAAGCAGTGTTAAACGCGCACCCGAGCGAGGCAAGCAGCCTCCATCCAAACGGCGCTGTGTTGATGATGCACGCACAGCTGCCCGGCGCTCACCGGCTCACATCGGTATAAATGTGGGACTGCAGGCCGGGTCCGGTGGAGGTCCCCGCTCTCAGCGAAAACAACACACGCTTCACCTGAGCAAACGCGAGCGGCCGTCATCCACCGCGTCTCAGCGATCAGCAGCTCACGGCGGCATAAGCGTGAGACAGCTGAACGAACCCGGCGACGAGCCACGCCCCCAGCGAGAGCGGCGCGCGTCCCTTCAGAGAAAACGTGCGCTCCCGCGAGGCTCGCAACCTTCACTTCGACAGCACGGCGTTGATGAAGTCACGCCCTCCGCCTCTCAACGTTCGCACAGCGACGTTAAACGTGCAGCCTCACGACGTCATCAGCTGGCACACGCTTCGCCTCGGCACACACCGCCCCGCCCAGACATGAAGGTTGGTCCGCGATCCAGACACAGCGCACGGGCGCGTGCAGAACAGCCCTTTCGAGGAAGCCTCGTCTTGGGTCACGCGGAAAACTTTTCCGCGATGCATGACGGCGGTCGAGGCGGCGGATTGGATGACATCAGTTCAGAACACGGCGCATCATTTAAACGCACGTCCACTCCACGAACGTTACGCAGAGTGGCTAAAAACATGCTCGCCGGACAGATGGATGGACAGAGTGTTATGCAAGGGTTACACGCTGCAATTTGCAACCCGACCCCCTCCGTTCGGAGGAGTTATGGAGACGGTCCTGTCATCACCAGACCAAATCTCAGCCTTAAATGCAGAAGTTCAGGAGCTTCTGATAAAAGGCGTAATCTCAAGAGTTCCCTACGGAGAGGAAAACACAGGGTTTTACTCACGCTACTTCCTGGTCCCCAAAAGGACCGGAGGGATGAGACCGATTCTGGATCTGTCAGCTTTCAACAAAGCGATCATGGACAGACCGTTTCACATGCTGACAAACAGACAGCTGTTGGACAACATCCAGAGAAACGACTGGTTTGTTTCCATCGATCTAAAAGATGCTTATTTTCACATACCGATCATCCCAAAACACAGGAAATTTCTGCGTTTCGCCTTTCAGGGGATGAAGTATCAGTACAACAGGCTGCCTTTCGGGTATTCCCTCGCGCCTCGTATGTTCTCGAAGTGTGTGGAGACAGCCCTGCATCCACTGCACAGAGCAGGGATGAGAGTTTTGTTTTACCTGGACGACCTGTTGCTCCTGTCACACTCCAGACAGGAAGCACTGATGCAGGCTCAGGTGTTGGCATCACACCTGTTAAACCTGGGCTTCGCCATAAATTGGAAGAAAAGCTCGATTTTCCCGGCCCAGACAATTGTTTATCTGGGAGTGGAATTAAATTCAATTACCATGAAGGCTCGCTTATCACAAACGAGAATTGACACTTTTAAAAGTCAACTCCGCCACGTAAGACCTGGCAAAGTGATAACAGCCGTCTCCGTCATGAAGCTGTTGGGAATGATGTCATCAGCTCACACAGTGGTTCCGCTGGGTTTGTTACACATGAGACGCCTCCAGAGGTGGTTTGCGCGTCTGCGTGTGGATCCAGTAAAACACAAAAGACGGATGATCACTGTCCCCTCCTCTGTGAGAGCAGACCTCAGACACTGGGGAAACACTCTGGTTCTGTCAGAGGGAGTTCCCGTCAGCAGACCCACATCACACGTGTCAGTCTTCACGGACGCGTCGCTGTCAGGCTGGTGGGGGGACATGCCTATCTCAAGCAGTAGGGGCGCTGTGGCCCCACCACACATCAGCCCACATCAATGTTTTGGAGTGTCGCACAGTGCTGAATGTGATTCAACACTTGCTCCCGTGCTACAGAATCAACACGTGTTGATTCACACAGACAACATGGTGACT